ATCTGATTTGCAAATATTTTATATAATTCGTGTGATACTAGTTTTTGTTACGTCGATAGAAAATAAATTCATGTCATAACCCAAATTAAAAAATTTAAAATAATTTGTGCTTACCTTTCCGATTGGCTAGTGTTTGGTGYGGATAACAACAATTAACGTTTAAATATTGTTAATATATTCTTTAATATCACATTTTATGAAAGTCACTTAAAAAATAGAATATCTTCTAGACCTACGAATGTTTTTAAAAGAAATGTGTTTAATGCAGAATTTAATAAAGAAGAATTTATTAGAACATTTACATTTATATTTTATTTACTGAAATATATACGGATTACATAGTTAACATTTATACTGCTTCTATATTATTGACTTGTTTAAATATAGGTTTTATTGCAATCTTATTTACATTCGTTTATTAATAATACAAAATGATCAACACAGAATAGTACACAATTAGTTTTTTTATCAACAGTTATGTAGAATCTCCATTGTGGATTTGATTCTGAGGTTTAAAGCATTTTGTAATGAAGATTCTACATTTGGTTTCATAGAAACATTTTTGTGGCTTCTTCGAAAAAAAGATTGACACTAACGTAAATTATTGTTATATTACACTGAACATTGAATTTTGAAGTGTGAAAAAAATGGACATTGAAGACATTTACCAACAGTGTCATAATCAAATCTTTTTTTCGGATTACAAAAATTGTGTTTTAAAAAATATAAACCAGGATGAACGGTCATTAGAAATTTTCACCACTCGAGGAGTTAAAAATTTATTTTGCAACAACAAAGGCAGTCTTGTGAACATTGTCAATTTTTTAAAACTAAACTCTCGAGTTTTATTTTCCGGGATTGGGGTTTATTGGCGGTGTGTGATAAAATTTTGAAATTTCTCATGACCTTATTACTATACATATTGACATAATTTATAGCGTGAAAACATCAACAATAACAGCAACAACATTATAGCAACAACAATGTAAACTAATAGAAAGTCGTATAGAATGTAGTCTATACAACATTCAGTCAGTTTAACGTCATAACGGTCGATTTTGCGACTGACTATCTACAATATGAATAAATATTTCGATCTATCCTATTTGTATTTGACGAATTATGAGCTTATTTGGCACCAAGTTTTGGGTTTTGGTAGTCACTGATACTATTTAACAATGCACCACAATTCATAAGAGTTCTTTTTCAGGCAATGATGATGGTTCCAATTAGTTGGTGTTGTTCTCGATTTTCTTATTTGATCACAGTACTGTTTCCATTTCTGCTATTTCTGTCTTCTGACTGGAAAACACAAAGGCAATTGAAATTTTTTTAGTGGGAAAGCTTTTAATCACCGATTTTCCCCACGAAATTTTTCAATATTTCGCTAAAGGCTAAGAAATTGGTACAAAATACGCTAGGGAATAGTCACGAATTTCCAAATAAAAATAACGTAAACTTAAATTTTTGTTTTGTTTCAATATTGATTTTTGTTTCGTATTCTTGAAGAATTAATGTAGTTGCCCGATTATTTTATCTGCCTTAAAATCAAAGAAGCCGATTTTTAAAACAAAATTTTAATTATTTTAATTTTTCTTGTCGAAAAATCTAAGACGTGTTCTGATTGGTTGATTTTAAAAGACGTAATTGATTGGCTAAGGATCGAACAATGACACTCAACTTTAACGCATTAAATAATTTTTTACTTTTTATTGGTCTAATAATCTAAAGTGCATGATTCATATTGGCTCTGGGGTTGGCTCCACCTATTTTGTAAAATTAGATCCAATTAAAGTAAGATAACTCACACTAAACGCTGATTTGTTATAAAAATTCGATTCAAAATCAATAATTATTCACGATTTTTTAAATGGGTGGAGTTACTTATCGTTGCTAAGTTTTTGTGGGATTTTAGCCAATAAGAAATAAAAACCGGTTTGTTCTCACCTTGGTGGTAATTACGTGAATGGGAAATGATTATTATTGGCCACTGTAAATGACCAATAAATTTACAAATGTGTCCAACCAATCAAATTTAAGATTTTGCAAAAACTTCACCGATTTATTCATAAAAAAACTGTTTTAATTCAATTCGAATTTGCTTAGAATAAGACGCAAAAATAATCAATTTAAATTAATTTTTCCAATTAGCCACGAAAAATTAATGTTAGATAGTGGATTCCAAAAAAAATGAAGATTAAAGTTTTTATGTGACTTTAAAAAAAAATTCGTTTGAAAACACAAAGTCAATTGAAATTTTTTTGTGTGGGAAATGTTTTGTAATCACCGATTTGCCCCACGAAATTTTTCAATATTTCGCTAAAGGCCAAAGAAATTGAGACAAAATACGTTAGGGAATAGTCTCGTAAGAACAGCTCACAAATTTCTAAATAAAAATAACGTAAACTTAAATTTTTGTTTTATTTCAATATTGATTTTTGTTTCGTATTCTTGAAGAATTAATATAGTCGCCCGATTATTTTATTTGCCTTCTTTTTTTTGTGAAATTAGCATAGAGTTTGGAAAGCTTTTATCTCGCTTCTTCTGTCCCTAGAAAGATTATAATTTGACGAAATTTAGACCAGGAAAGAAAGTATTTGGGGTGCACAAAAGTGTTTGAGTTTAAACAAAAGGTGTTCAGAGAGTTCTTGACATCACACAACATAAAACACAACTCTAATAGTGTCCACTGGAATAACAAGAAAACACTTCACTTGCCTTGGAATGAAATGAGTGAAATTCTCCCTAAAGACCAATTTGTATTTGTGAAAAATGAAGAACTTTTAATGCGTTTGATGTTGTTATTTTGCATAATCTTGAAGAGATTTAAAAAAGTATCAATTTGTATTACTAATTTTTTTTTCGATATTTATGTTGTTTTTTTATTTTTAGTCAAAAAAGAAGAATCAAGTTGGATTTTACCGCAACGAAACAGTAACAAATCTCACTGTCAGATGTTTAAAATTGTTACGATGTAAGCCAATTATATGTTCCAATAAAAATGCATACGATGCGGTTTCCCACGTGACATTTGTTATTGACATCTAAAAAATTATACTCATTTTTCATTCGATTCTAACTTTTTTACTGTTTGTAAAAAATTACAAAACAAACAAAAAATTCAAATTGAATGCCTGTGCCAGAAATAAATACACGATTTTTAGCCCTCATTTGAAAATTTTAAGCTTAACTTAGTAAAATTCTAACTACATTAATTGTTGACCGATTTTCTTGAAATTTTTAATGTTTCTGTAATTCATTCTAAGTAAGCCACTGCTGGCAAAAAACACAAAAAAATGGCCTTTTGTTTGTAAATTTTGGGCTAGCTTAGCACTATAACTACAAAATTGCTCTAACTTCATTACCTATTTATTAACCGATTTTGTTAAAATTTTTAATGTTTGTCGTAATTTATTCTAAGTGAGCCATTACTGGTAAAAAACAAAAAAATGATCTTTTGTTTGAAAATTTGATTTTTTTTGAAACATTTTAAATTTTTGTGCTAAGTTTTGCACTAATTGTACCTATGGAAAGAATCAATCTGTCGACTTATGAATTTTTGAATTTTTTTTTGACAGATTTGACAATTAAAGGCTAAAACCGCTGAAACGACTCGAATCGGTGTTTTTGAATCAAAAATTGAGCAAAATACAAATTTTAGTACACAATCAATGTACTAAATACACAGTGTTTTACAAAAATGTCAAATTTTGACAGTTTGGACATTTGACAGTAAAGAAAATTAATTAACGTTTATTCTTCAAATAATTATTTTTTACATTGACAATAAAATCAAAGAAGCCTATTTTCAAAACAAAAATTTTAATTATTTTTATATTTCTTGTCCAAAAATCTAAGACGTGTTCTGATTGGTTGATTTTAAAAGACGTAATTGATTGGCTAAGGATCGACCAATGACACTCAACTTTAACGCATTAAATAATTTTTTACTTTTTATTGGTCTAATAATCGAAAGTGCATGATTCATATTGGCTCTGGGGTTGGCTCCACCCATTGTGCAAAATTAGATCCAATTAAAGTAAGATAACTCACACTAAACGCTGATTTGTTATAAAAATTCGATTCAAAAATCAATAATTATTCAGGATTTTTTTAAATGGGTGGAGTTACTTATCGTTGCTAGGTTTTAGTCGGATTTTGGCCAATAAGAAATAAAAACCGATTTGTTCTCACCTTAGTGGTAATTACGTGAATGATTATTATTGGCCCTTGTAAATGACCAATAAATTAACAAAAGTGTCCAACCAATCATATTCAAGATTTTGCAAAAACCTCACCGATTGGTCATAAAAAACTGTTTTAATTCAATTCGAATTTGCTTTGAAAAACAGGATAAAAATAATGAATTTAAATTAATTTTTCCAATTAGCCACGAAAAATTAATGTTAGATAAGGGACTATTTCGTCAATTTTTTTTTCAGTTTTTTTTCAGCAATCTACATTTTTTTTCAAAAAAATGTAGATTAAAGCTTCTATGTGACTTTTAAAAAAAATTTAGTTTGATTTTCTTGAGCCACATTGTCGCGAAATGTCAACAACTGTCAAAAGTGTCAGATTGAATGATTGAAATCCAACCACTCATAGTGATGTTTTTCTTTAAAACGTTAATTTAGGCACTTTTAGACCTTTTTTCTCTATGAAACTCTTATTACTTTGTAGAATTATGATTAAATTTTTGTTTCTTACCTTCACTCAATTTCCACATTTTTGCCGTTTTCTACTTGCTATCGCATGACAAAGATGGTTGAATTAACGTTTTACACGGGTGTGACAGCGTTCAAGTTATATATGCAGTTTTTTGTAGGTATTTTCGGTATTTTTTAAATTCTTATTAAAAATTTCAGTTGATTATTACTTGATTAGCACTTATTATTTGTTCACTTTTTACTACTTTTTGCATAAAGACGAACACAAATTCTGCATTCTCTGCACAAATCAATAATTGATTTAGTTCTAGTTGCACATGAGCGAAATTTCCATTTCAATTAAGCAATCTATTTGCCCACGTGTTTGCTTATTGATACTAATGTAAAACTGAATATGTAACTTAGACGAAAACAATAAATACAAAAATGTACTAGAAAAAAGAATAAGAAGAAAATGTTTCACTTCTGCTCAAAACTAATGAACATACTTATTTTTGTCTCATCCTGTATATTATTTATGCTAGTCCCTGTTTTCGTGAAATATTCCTTCAGCTTTTCATTTATTTAACACAAGGTCTAGAAAAAAAACCCTAATATTTTTGCGACCCACAGACGCTATGAATTTTAAAAGAACAACATGTTTATGGAAAATTCATAAAAATGATTTACTGACAGGTTCTTCAGATTACTTCGTGTATTGAATAATGATGTGGATATTTACATAAATCTTAGGAAGTCTAATGCATAACCGAAAGCTCAAAGCCTAAAACTTGGACTTTTTTCGATTGAATAAATTAATAGTAGTAATTCTTATCATTGAAATATTAAATTTTTGTTAATTTTTAAATTTAAAGTTTCACAAAAAGAGAAATTTGCGTTTACTTAAAAAATTGCGGATTTTATTTGCCGACCTTTTTTAAGCTTGCACGAAGTTGGGATTAAAATTTTTTCAGGAATTTTATGCTACGTATGTTAAAGTTACAGTCGACTGGATTACCAAATGAATTAACATTATTTTTGGTTTATTTTTTATTTAAATGCAAAAAACTTGTGCACCCGATTTTCATAATTATTATCGTAAAAACTGAAAAGTTTGTGTTAAATAAGCTTTGGCGTAAAAGATAAATTGTAAGTGTTAAAAATAACTTACCCAAATAAATCAGAGTTGCTACTTTTATCTGGATTTAAGCTTCTTAACCTAGATCTGGCTTGTTCTCCAGAAACTATTACACTGAAAATAACAAAAAATTTGTATTAGCTTAATAGTGATAATTTTACGGCCCAAACTAATCATTTTCAAATACAAGTATCACTCTATTTATCCTTCAGTCAGGTTTAGCTGAAACAAATTAGGATCGAGGAATTGTGTTATTATCATTTTTGATAATAGAATACATCTGTTCCAGTCGCACAATAAGCAGTTTAAAAAGTTTGGCAAGTTGTAACGAACTTTGCAACAATATGAAAATTATACAGGGTGCGCCAGAACTCGCGCCCCAGAGAAAAATGCAAAAAATGTTAAAAAAATTATACAAGGTGTTCCAGTTACCTTTAAATGGTAACATTAAAAAAAATGTAAAGGACATTGCTAGATACTAATCTAGTGTATCATCTAAAATTATTTTTAACCATACAGTATGTCCCAAAAATAAGTCACAAACTTGTGTTTTTTTAAATGAAACACCGTCTGTTTCATGGCATTTTTGGATGCTTTTAATAACTTTTATAAGTCGATTTTGCTTACTTTTAGAAATAAGACGGTTTTTTGACGAAAACATGCACTTTTTAAAAATTTATTACACAAAAACTAAGACAGCTAGAACAAATTTTTTCTTACTTCTGCAAAGAAGAAAGTACATAACCTAAGGCTGTAGCATTTTTTTTAGTGTTTTGCATTTGTAAAGATTAATAAATTAAGAAGTTTGTTAAAAGTTACATAACTTAAAAAAATTAAATAAAACACTCTATTTTTT